GTTAATGAGACTAGGAAGGAATTTTGTAAACGGAAGCATGTGTTACAGAAGTCAACTACCTGGGAAGTGAAACTACAGGGAGGAAGGTTGCCTTTAACTCCATAGTCACAGAAAACACTGCATTTTAGCTTTTCTGCTAACAAGGGAATGGAGACTGACCACAGGATAGGTAGTTTTGTTGAGGAACTAGGTGTATAAAACGTATGCATTACACTAGCCTGCCCTAATTTTCTTACCAGTGTTTGTGTTAAGAATTACTTGTTCCTTTAAAGCTGTGGTAAAGAAAGCTTGCACTCCATGCCTTTCAGTAGTTCTTCTTTGGAAGCAGTTTTTGACTCAGTTTGGGCACTGTCAGTGACTTTTTTTTTTTTTTCCCTTTAAGCATAATAGTGGTTTTCTTCTTCAGTTATAACCTTAACGACATGTTAGTGATGGTGATTTCTTTGCTAATATGGTGGTGGATGCAGCACTGGCAGTTAAATACACTGACCAGAAGGGTCAGGCTCGGTACCCAATCAACTCTGTTAATGTTCTGAAGGCACATGGCCGCAGCCAAAAGGAGAGCATACTTGTGAACGGTTATGCTCTGAACTGCGTGGTGGGCTCACAGGGTAAGAATATGCCACGTTTCAGAAAGCTTTTGTGTGAACTCGGTCCTCTTACTTGTCCTGCATGCATCTTCTTACTGATTGCATTAGTTGTAAATCATTGGGTTTTCAATTCCAGACCAATTGGACAAGAACCCAAAAAAAACTTACTGCTTCACTAGTGGTTTCTAGGCTACGGTCTGCCAACTAGTCTGTAAGGTACTGTGGTTTTCCTAGCTTGGGTTTAGCATGGTAACACTGATTTTTTTTATTTTATTTTTTTTTGGAACATAAGTGCCTGCTTTGTGGGGAGCCAATGGCTGTTTTGTAGGGAACTGTTACACTTAGCAGAGCTGTGTTGTGATTAGGTAACCTAAAGGATGTGAGACTGATGGGTCAGCTTTTCATGGTCATTCCCATTCTGGGGATGGGTTCGGGAAAAAGGTAACAGGTCACAGGAGAAATTTAAAAAAAAAAATTCTTGGGAGTCTTTATTAGCGTTTTTCTGTACTAGGGCAGAACTGGTGGTGGAGAAGCAAACTGGGTAGAGATCTGAAATGTGAAAGTAACACCAGTTTTAATCTCCACTGCTGACTTGACATTGTTAACTCAGTTTTACAAAATCTCTTTGCTTTCTTGTTTTTGCTCGTCAGGTATGACCAAGAGAATAGTTAATGCAAAGATTGCATGCCTTGACTTCAGCTTGCAGAAAGCAAAGATGAAGCTTGGTGTTCAGATTGTTATCTCGGATCCTGAGAAGCTGGACCTGATAAGGCAGAGGTGTGTGTGGAAGCTTGAGTAACTGGGACAGTGGGGCTTTACAAGCTTTATTTGCCTCTCCAGCTGAGGTGTTTCAGTGTAACTTTGGCTGAGTGCAAGAGGTAAAAGAGTTATAAATGTTAAGATTTCCACAAATACCAAATACTAATGGTAAAAGTCTTCACTTCTGTGGGGCAGAACTAGTATTAAGTCAGGCTTTTAGAGAGATCCAAGTTTGTGCAGTGGTCCCTTCTTGCAGAGCTCCGCATTAAGATTTTGGGAAATGGGTTGACAGAATGTGATTTTAGATTTTTAAATATGCTTTTATAACTTTAACTTTATACTTGCAGAGAGTTAGATATTACCAAAGAAAGGATCCAGAAGATTTTGGCGACTGGTGCCAATGTGATTCTCACCACTGGCGGTATTGATGATATGTGTCTGAAATACTTTGTTGATGCTGGTGCTATGGCAGTACGAAGAGTTGTGAAGAAGGACCTTAAGCGGATTGCTAAGGCATCTGGAGGTATGTATATAGTAACTAATCTTCAAAATACAGCTTCCTAACATGCAAAGCATGCAAGGAGAGGATGAGTAGAGCTGAGACGCCCTTCTTAGTTACTTTAAGTAAGTTACAGCTTTACTGATACTTCTGTCAAAGTAGATGAGTATCGTAAGAGTTGACTGCAGAAGGTTTACAGGGGGTGGTTGAGGAGGAGGACAAAATGCTGCCTCTCACTGGGAAGAGTGTCCTCTTGTGGAAATGAGCCAGAATCTGTATTGATATAGAAGTCTTTTTTGAGCGCACATTCATGAGCCTCTGTTTGGACAGTTGTGTTAAGTACATTGTTCAGATTGTTCAAGAAAGAACTCCTAAGTCATTCAATACATACTGGAAAAAAATCTGGTATACATTTGTGTCAATTTATGCAAATTCTTGAATTTGCAGGAAAGCATTTTCATTATGAGAAAGCACATGAGCTGTTTTCATTCTGTATGCTTGTTCTGGGAAGTTGGCAAAGGATGTGCTGGCATGGAAGGCTAAATTTAACTTCTTTCTTTGTTAAAGCGACCATATGTTCAACCCTTGCAAACCTTGAGGGTGAGGAGAGTTTTGAGGCATTAATGCTGGGACAAGCAGAAGAGGTGATTCAAGAAAGAATCTGTGATGATGAACTGATCTTGATCAAGAAGTAAGAATCCTTTTTAAAGTACTCAGTTTTGTGTGCATCTTCAACTAAGTTTGATGCAAAATCCCATTTATTTACTTCCATGCTATCTCAACGATATGAGTAATTATATGCATGGGAAAGTCCACTGCAGATAGGAGGTGAAAGTATTTAATCTCTTCTGCTGGGGCTGGGCACCTGTTTCATCAACCATAATGTATGAAAAATCAGATGGCTGGATAGACTTCACTTACAGTTCTGTTTATAAATACATTTTTCCAAGCTGGCTTCCATTTACAGAGGCAGTAAAGGGAAACAGTTACTATCTGAGTAATTCCATCTGAATAAGGTGGTGCTAGCTAAATCTGACCATTTGTAATAAAGACAGTTTATTTGTGCTGGTTTCATTGAATCAGTCACCCACTTGGTACTATGAAATGGACAGTTACTGTTGAAAGTTTTTTGTGTTTAATGGGTAAGAAAAGCAACAGTCACTGGCTGTCCACACATAGAACTTTCCCTTGAAGTTTTAGTATGCCGCTGCTGTCTGTTTCCTGAGGACTGAAGTATCTGTTTAAGAGGAATGTACCTCAGATAGTATCTTTTCCCACTGCTTCAGTATCTCTTCTCAGTGTTCAGTCTCCTGCAGTCTTGTGTGTGAATGAAATACCCTGACCCTGATGCTTGCATGGTGGTTACATGACTATTACACTGTAATGTTGGCAGTCATTTGCTCACTTAATGCCTATGCAAGAGGGAGCTTTCTCAGTATCTGATAACATTTTGCCCCAATTTGATGGGTAAACTAAACATTGAAAGAATCTGGCTTAACTGAATTTGGCTTTAGAAGAAAACTTGTAGCAACAAAAGTTTATTTACATTCAGTTCAACACAGCTGACTTCTCATTCCTTTTTTCCCTAGTACAAAGGCTCGTACTTCAGCGTCAATTATCTTACGAGGAGCTAACGACTTCATGTGTGATGAAATGGAACGGTCTATACATGATGCCCTCTGTGTTGTTAAAAGGGTATTGGAATCCAAGTCTGTTGTCCCAGGTGGTGGTGCTGTAGAGGCAGCACTTTCAATATATCTTGAAAATTATGCAACCAGCATGGTAAGTCTTGCAGGAAGAAGTAACAATTTGTCTGTGTTACCCTAGGAAAGTGTGAATTTTCAGGCATTTCTTTTTTCTCCTAGAAGTTGGTTCCACAGTCAATAAAACCTGCACGATCTTAAGAGTAAAATGGTGCTTTAAAGTGGAGGATAGTAATTATTCTTTCTGTGAAAATTAGAATATATGGCTCTTTGCCCCAAAACCAGGGTTTGTGTGTGAAAACCCCTACCTGCTATTGTCAGCTTTGATTGCAGCTATATTGTTTCTTATTTCAACAATGGGTTTAGAACCTTTTTCCTCTTCCTAGGGATCACGTGAGCAGCTTGCAATAGCAGAATTTGCAAGGTCCCTCCTGATAATTCCAAACACACTGGCAGTGAATGCTGCTCAGGACGCCACAGATCTTGTTGCAAAGTTGAGAGCATTCCACAACGAGGCTCAAGTTAACCCAGATCGCAAAAACCTGAAATGGCAAGTATCTGCCTGTCGGCAGGCTGTTAAATGTGGAGTGGTGGCTTGTCAGTTTACTGAAGTGTGCAGTTATTTCCTGTGAGGATGGTGAGGCCCTGGAACAGGCTGCCCAAAGAAGTATTAAATGCTTCTTCCCTGGCAGTGTTCAAGGCCCTGTTGGACAGAGCCTCAGGCAACCTGGTCTAGCGTGAGGTGTCCCTTTCCATGGCAGAGGGGTTGGAACTACATGATCTTAAGGTCCTTTACAACCCAAACCATTCTGTGATTTATTTGCATGTGGAACAAAGGGTGCAGGTTATCCCTGAACTTTCTGGCCTTCAGTCCCGTGTACGTGTGACTGGGAACTAGTACTAGCTGAACAGCATATTCCCAACTATATTTCTACCTTTTCTAATCTCTCCATCTGACTGTTTCTTTGCAGGATTGGTCTTGACTTGATCAATGGAAAACCTCGCGATAACAAGCAAGCTGGTGTCTTTGAACCAACCATGGTCAAAACCAAGAGCCTGAAGTTTGCCACAGAAGCGGCAATTACTATTCTTCGAATTGATGACCTTATTAAACTGCACCCTGAACCTAAAGAAGAGAGAGGGTGCTACGAGGATGCAGTTCACTCTGGAGCGCTTGAAGAGTAACTTAGGTTTTATTTATGTTTGTCTAACTTACTTACACTTCCCACTCTTGTAACTAAAATGTTAATAAAACAGGTGCTTGAATGCTGCTGCTATTTTCTTGTGGACCAACCTTGCTTTGAAAAATGTTTGTTCTCGCAGTGAGAATTTAAGCTCATGTGTAACAACTGAGGTGCCTACAGTAGCCACTAGTCTGTCAAGGCAGAGTTACGGAGTGGCGAGAAGTAAGGGAGTAAGCTCACTTGATTTAAGCAACACAAACTAAGCTCTATGATTAGAAGTTTATTAGGGAGCTTCAAACACTCGTTCACATTAGCTATTCACTCATGCTCATCTCTCAACACACATAGCTATTCCCATTCCTCCTCCTATACAAAGAGCAGCAACACCACGTTTTCCACCAGTTCGGTCCAGTGCATGTAGGAGAGTAACAAGGATGCGGCAACCGGAGGCACCGAGAGGGTGGCCAAGAGCAATGGCTCCACCTTGGATATTAACCTAAAACACAAGAGCCAATACCAAAGGTCAGGTTAAGAAATCATTTAACAAGCTTAGCTGAGTTTCAACATGAATGACTTCACTGGATATAGTCCTCAAAATGTCAGCTACCACCATTTCAAGGAAAAACTGAACATGGATGCAACTGCTGTTAGTATTTCTTCTGAAAGGGGTCCATCTTTATTCCTTGAACATCAGGTGAAATTAAGGAGGGGAGAGTAATACCCATGCATTTTGCCATCACCAGAAGGGTACAGTGGCAAGTACACTGCATCAAGAAGTTCAGTGTTTGAAGTTGTAATTACAAGTGTGCCCAAGCAGTTACTTAGATCTGCTTACAAATCCACTATAATGAAGTTAGGGCCTGTTTGCTTGGAAACCATGCCTGCTAGCAAAGCCAGCCTGCTGCTAAGCAGTGTGAGGAAACACTAGTGTTCCTGTTTTTCTCATGACAAAGTGATTGCAAGAGGACTGTTCTTGCTTGTTTGGAATGTGATTCAGGTGCACTGAGTATAATAACTTTGAATTAGAGGAGGCAAACTAATCATGGCCTCAAATGTATCCCAATACCTTTTCTGGATTTACTTTCAGCTCTTTTGCTATTGCAACAGCCACTGATGCAAAGGCTTCATTAATTTCAAAGAGGTCAACTTGTTCCAGAGTCCAGCTGGCTTTGCCAATCTGAGAAAACAAAATAAACAGAGGTCTTGTTATCTTTTAGGTCTTCCTCAGCACCAGAGAAAGTTTTCTGTAGGATTTTAATGCTGTGAATTGAAGCCAACACTTCTAAAAAGATGAAGGAAACAGATTTGGGGTTTTTTATAGCCGGGGATGATGACAGAATTCGTGAAGGCAAAAGACAAAACTTTGGTGTCAGCAGAAGTCAGTGCAATGTGCCATAACCTGCTGGGTGCTCTTAAAAAAGCTTGACTAATTTTACGCAGTGGTGGTAGTGCAACTGTAGGAGTCAAACTGGCTGTGCTGCCCTTAACAGACAAGCACTTGTTTTCAAAAGCAGATTTTAGATTAAAAGTGGGTTTTTTTTCAGGTCACGAGTCTGGTCCCATTAGAGATTCTATGTTTAATGCAGATTTTTACACAGGAGATAGAGAAATGACCATTAGTGATGCTGTCAAGTGTAACTTGTCCAGTCTCTCCTGCCTTGAAGTTGAAAGTCTCCACTGGAAGACAGGCTGTTTGGGAAGATGGTTTGGCTCGTGTTGTCACTTGAGAAACCCTTGCAGTGCAATTGCCTGCTTGGGGGCAGGCGTAGGCATGTTTTATATCTCTACATTTTTACTTGCGCTCACTCGGTTTCTAACAACAATGCTTTTATCAGTAGAATCAAGCAGAGCAATGCTGTTTGACAAACAGCTCACCAAACTGGTGCACCACCAATGCTACAGTCCAGGAGGAGGGCCTCTTGCTACTGGGTATTATTGTGGAGAGAGATTGGAAACTGTTCACTCTTTAAGATTTACTATGTTGCTGTAACACTAAAGTGCATGGCCTAGACAGTCTCTCACTGTGAAGTGATACCATGAAGTCCTGAAGAGAGAAACTGGTAGATGTGAAGTGTTTGATAACACACAATACAAAATCTACATTAAGAAGTAGTGTGTCCTTTTTCAGAGTAGCTATAAAATGATAGGTATTGTTAAATACATTTGTCTGTTCTACAATTTAAACTAAAAATGTTTATTGTGTATAAAAACAATTACAAACAAACTTTTAAATAATAGATATAGATAATTACTTACAGCTTGTCTTATTGCTGAAATGGGCCCTACTCCCATTATGGATGGGTCTATGCCTGTCTGAGCCCAAGATACAATCCGAGCCAAAGGCATAAGACCTCTCCTAGCAGCTTCTGATTTCTTCATTAGAATTACAGCCGCAGCTCCATCATTGATACCTGTGGAATGACAAACAACTTGTATGTATTTGCTGGGTTTTGTGGCTTGTGCTGTACCACCTTTTCCCACTTCACAATCTAGACAAAACAAAAATCACAGATCTTTTGTTGATTTAGGTCAGTACCATTCAGATCAGCCAAGTCTGACCTCTGACACAAAGGCTTAAAACGGGCATCTTAAGTACACTGCTGTAAATGAGACATGTTTGTGATTCCATGTGGAAAGCAGCAGGGGTAAGAATTGAGGCACAATCTGAAGAAGGAGCACATCAGATTTATCAGGCAGACTTTGGAAGAGGCAGCAGAAGGACCAAGGAAGACATTTTAAAGCTGCCTGTGGCAGGAGAGTTATTCCCACAGGAGCAACATTTTCAGACACAAATGTTAAGTTTTTCTTTGCCCAGACCTGCAGTATTAGCAACCACTGGACAGCTAGTTTGAAAAAGAGAGAAAGTAGTTTCTATTTGTTCCAGCCTATCAGGTATTGCTGTAATTGTCTAAACACTCATATTGCTTCATAGAAAGTAAGCAAACAAAACCAACTCATCTGTAAAGAAACCCTCCACCACAGTTAGTATTTGAGTTCCACGATGTTGTCAAACACGTTGCCATATCTTGCAAAATGCATTCAGCAGTAACCACATGGCAGTCAAACCCCTTGCAGAGACCCTGCCTTGAGCCACAAGCAGCTACTGCCCTTTGCCATTTCAGTTTTAGCCAGATGGACCAACCTGAAGCATTGCCTGCTGTTACTGTCCCAGTTCCATCTGTCAGAAAACAGGGCTTTAACTTTGCCATTGTTTCCAAGTTGCTCCCATGTCGAGGGTGTTCATCTGTTTTAACCTCTATTGGACCTGCAAAGCAGTATTCAACATCACCTTTACTTCCCTTATTTAAAACAGTAACCCCGGAAAGTTGAAAAACAAAGCAGCAGGCTATGTCCTTACAGAATAGCTTATGGAAAAGGCTTTACAAGTGGGAAATCATCCACTGATTAGAGGAGACACAGCAGAAACTAGACTTTTCTCTTTAAAAGCAGCTCTCATTATCCATTCACACCTACCTTTTTTAGAGGGTACAAGAACAGGAACGATTTCTTTAGTAAAATAGCCAGCTTTCTGTGCTGCCTCTGCCCTGTTTTGCGACTGTACCGCAAGTTGGTCTTGTTCCTCTCTGCTGACTTGACACTGACTGGCCACATTTTCAGCTGAAATAGGAACACAATGCAAACTGCCATCAGGAAATACTAAGATTTTAAGATGTAAAATTGTAAGTACAGAGGTAAAGTGATTAATGATTGCTGTAGCGAGCAGCTGAGCCTGCTGAACATTTTCATTCAGATTTCCTCCTTTTGTTTGCTCATGATTCTCCACTGTGTTGTCTTTTGAGGGTAGGAATTTCTGTGCAGGATCACCTCCCAGAAAGGAGTTACACCAAATGAAATACAAATACAACCAAGCATTTCTAGTCTATTGCTTCTCTGGATTATTATGCTCAGATCTCTCTACAGCTACTTCAGAGGACGGAACAGTTCTGAAGTTACTCTGTTTCATAAGCAGGGTCTGCAAAAGCAGTTGGTTCACTACCCCATCCAAAGGTGCAACAACCTGCAGTTGCAGAACTGAGTGTATGCACACTACACTTAATTCCTCCACAGTGTAAGCCTGTGTTGCTGAATGCTTGTTACATGCAGGGATTACCTTGTTTATTTTTCCTGAAATTAAGTCAGATTGCTGGGATGCAAAAGATGCAGAGAGAACAGCTCAGGAAAAAAAACAAACCAAACCTAACAAACCAGTAGCTTTACAAAGCAGAAAATGCCTTCAACGCCTTTCAATATTAGGGATTTCTTTCTTTTTCATGACTACAAGTGAAGGACAGCTTGAAACACCTCATTTGAAAATTCAGATTTCTGAGACTTCCCATCAGTGAATTCGTCCCCCCCTTCTGAGTTAACTGTCATTTTCTGGACTGTCACCACTTACCTGTTATACCCATATGATACTGATAGAAAGCATCTGTAAGGCCATCGAGGATTATAGTGTCCTGCAAGGAAGCCTCTCCCATTTTAATCCCAGCTCGCATGTGAATGACATGAGGAGCCTGCAAGAAGGTATTTTGACAGGAGTCAGATGGTTTCTATCTCCAGTGTATACTGAAGAGGCAGACCCCTGCCTTGGGGATGCAGGTTGCTGCCCCAAATCCTGGTAATCTCCCCAGTTCCCTGTTCTGTCTCTCCCCCCAGTCTCCTGCTGGTGTGGCCTGTTTGGCCTCTTCATCTCCCCAGTAGGAGATCAGCAAGCAGCGAGTGTTCCCTCTCCATAGATTTAATCTATCATTCCTGGGGCCATACAGCCATTGGTCCCTCATCTCTAGGTGGTTCCCAATTGCACTCTGCAGCCAGTGAACACAAACATTACTCTCAGCATCCAGCAGAAGAGGCCACTCCATTCTTAGGCATCAGATGCTGCCCCAGCACCATTTCTTAATACAGCCTTAGGATGGACACCTCAAAATAAAAGTGCTTTGCTTCCTTTCCAAGCTCAAATTGTTTGGTGAACAACAATGTTTCCATTTATTCCTTCTTTGGGCTTCTCACAACACAGAAAACCCCATCTAGGCCAGGTGTCACAAGCAAACAAGTATGTGTTTGCATGGCACCTTTTCAGTAGCTACAGTGTCAGGTCTTTGGTTTCAAGAAAAGAAAGCAAGCAAGCTACTGAAGTCAATTGTTGCATGTGTAAATTCACTCCTAAGTGCAGAAACTGAAGCTGCTCTTTCAGTCTACCTCTAGAGCGTTAGAATCATAGAATCATCTAGGTTGAAAAAGACCTTTAAGATGATCAAGTCCAACCTTTACCCCATTAGCTTTGAAATACAGGGTTTCAACGTGATGCTGTTTGTTGCTGGTAAGGCAGTGCAATGTGAGTTCAGTGCTTTGCTTCACCTTGCTCATGCTTTCCATGCCGCCTGCAACCACGATGCTGGAATCTCCTGTCAGTATGGACTGAGCAGCCAGACACACGGCCTTCAAACCTGACCCACAGATCATCTGGCAGCTCCATGCGGGCACGGTGTAAGGGATGCCTGCAGCAACACTCGCCTGCCGGACAGGGTTCTGGCCAGCACCTGCAGGAACAGGCAGCACATTTCCTTTGTTCTTAAAACACAAACATCAGCCTTGACACTTCTCACAACAGGTACCCTCATTCCATCAAAATATAGAGCTTGCTCCTATCTTCAGCTGGAAGACAGAGAAGTTCCAAGGGGTAACCTGTAAATAGGAGCTCGGTTACCTCTTTCCTTTATATTGTTGACTAATGAAATACCTACAAGTTCAGATATGGGACTTGTTACTGACAGCTTTAACATCTGCATCTCTGTCTTTGATGGCAGGTCAGATAAAACACCAACTTCAAATTAGCACTAGCCTGCTGTATATGTGTAAAAGGAGAGCTCATTTAAATTGCTACTTGCTGAAGGGCTTCTTTTTAACATCATCTGTACACCATCAGCAGGCAACTTTTCCTAAAAGTCCCTATGGGAACCAAAAGCACAATAATGCAAGGACAGTCCTGAAAGCTTCCATTCTTTGTTGTAATCCCGATGGAGAAAGGAGTGCTATATTCAAAGAAAACATGTGCATCTCCCCAGGCCAGAGTAATGCCAGCTCTTTGTATGCAAAGAAATGGATAAGGAAAGCACATCCTTCAGCGAGCTAGAAATATACAAGAATCTGGATCAGCTTTAAGACAAAAATATTTCCTTTATTTTCTTGCTCAATCTTTAAAATGCAAACCTGCCCTACGACTGCTGATTGAACATTACCCTGGGAAATGCCGGGGATGGCTCAAAACAAACAATTCCCCATCAGCCATGTTTTCAATAAATCAAAATACTTGTCTCTGAGCAAGTGGTATCACAGATCTCACAGGAGGGTCTTGCACAAAAACACAAACTCAGGACCCGCTCCTAAAATCTTAAGAGTTATCATTATGTATGATGCTAAGTTTTAGAGAGGAGATGACGAATGCCCAGCGCAGAAGGGATGCTGTAACAAAGACAAGAAACTGATTTTCACACACACACAGTTAGCTACCTTGGGGATTTAAAGAAACCCCAAACTATCTCCCCACCACGTCTTTTCCAAAAACCCAGCGATGAGTTTGGTCACCCAGAGAGCACGGAGAAGGGACCAAGGTGCCGCTCGACTCCTTTGTTAAGGAACCACGCTCTTAAACCAAGGAACGACGTTGCGAAACACGACCCCCGAGCTGCTCCACAGCGTAGGAGAGATGCGGCCGTGGCGGAGAAGAGACGGGCCAACGCCACCGGGCCGCGGGAAGAGAGACGGCCCCTTACCTGCGGGGAGGACCTGCCCCAGGATCACCTCCGACACCTCGGCGGGGGCCAGCCCTGCCCGACGCAGCACCTCTCGGATCACCGCGGCACCCAGCTCGTGTGCCGGCAGCGCCGACAGGCCGCCGTTGAAGGAGCCTAGGCGGACACAAGACATAGCGCGATCAGCAGCGGCGCGGGGAGCGGGACACACACACCGCATACCCGGGCCCCTCTCTCACCCACGGCCGTCCTGGCGGCGGCGACGAACACTACTGGGTCCCCACTCATGGCGACGGGCGCGGAGCGGAGCGACAACGCGGATCCTGCGCGGCAGCCGCTGCCCCAGCTAGAGGCGAGTCGGCGACGGGCCCGCCCCTCGCCAGAGCCTCTGCCGAGGGCGGGAGCCCGCACGGGTGATCCTTGGCCGCGCCCCTGGGCAGGGCCGGGCCCGGCCGGGGGATGGCCGCGCTTTCTCTGCCGCTAGCTCCCGGGGCGGTGGGACAGCGCTCACGGTGCGTCGGGACTTGCGGGTCTCGGTCACAGCACCCCAGCGGGCCGGGCCAGCGCCGTTCGCCAGCGGCGGCAGCGCTCCGTTTATTGTCGTTGACAGCATAAAACGTGCAGGTCAAGTGCTCCGTTATCACACCGCGGCTTGAAGGGTGGGTTTTTTTGTCATGGTGGCGTTTCATAGGATCTATGTGAGCAGAAAAAACAGTTAAACCAGTAGAATAATAGTTTAAACCAAATGACACAAAATTGTCTATCACCGTGCTGCCCAGCAGTGGTTACTGACACCCAGAGATTGCCAACACCCAACACATCCTTCTTTCTAATTTAAGAGAACTCTAACACATATATACACTTTCTGAACACACACACACACACACACACACACATACACATACACATATATCTCCTGTGGTGAGACCTGTGCTTACCTGTTCACAGAACAGATACTCAGCCTAATGGATGTGCCAGCTAAAGCCCTGCATTGACGTTGTGGCTGAAGGCCAAGAAGGTGGTTAGAAAATGTGCTATCACTCCTACCTTAGCTGGAGTATCAACAAAGTTGAGAGATACATGTTTTTACCCATGTAATAAAATTTAGTAGGATTCGGGGCAGGGGAGGGGAAGGTTAAAAAAGAACAAGCTAAGCCCTTGAAAAACACCTAGCATGTGATGGCAAACACTGATAAATACATACCGATGGATGCCCCAATACAACTATGATCACAGTTGGCATGTTGGTTAATCCAAACTTGGTGGTATTAAATCTGCATGCACAAAATGTATCTGAACCCTCTGCATGGAAACGCTCAACAACAGAAGCAATACAGTACCCGAGTTGGATTCCTCTGACTCCTATCAGTCACTCTTCCTGCTTTACAATATAAAAAGCTACAACATTACCAGACAGGAAAAAAAACAAAACAAACCAACAATCAACTTCAGCTATGAAAAGACTGTTAGACTAGATTTCACTGTTCAGCCATGCTGGTCAGAGTAATTCCAACACTCAAAACACATTTCTCCCTTTAGATATTTCAGTTAGATTGAAGGACAAGGTCCAAGAAAGGAACCATGTGCTATGAGATTTCTTCAGTTACTTTGGAGTTTCCAGCTTTTGGTAAGAGAAGAATCTGCTCAGATATCTTCAGGAAAGAAAACATCTGCAAAATCCCCTGTGCAGCCAAATGCTTGAGTGGAACCAAGCATCTAGAGTAGACTTACTAGTCTCCTAAGGATGCATTAATTTGCCACAGGCATGTGCTACAGCTTTTCTTTAATGCACTCAGGGCAGCTGGTAACACTAACAAAACCCTTAAGTTACATCTGGATGGGAAAAACATTCTTGGAGTCTTTTCAAAAGACTCATCAGTAAATAATTAGTAGATCTACCACACAAGCAAACCTTAGGAATACATGATTTTAAACAACAAAGACTGATTGTTTTAGAGAAATACTGTACAGTTCCTGAGCAACCCTATACAGCTGAATATAGTTCCTGGACCATTCCAAAATACAGTAGAGAATAAGTAATATATATATTTTATATATATATATATTGTCGTGGTTTAAACCCAGTCAGGTAATTCGTTCGCTCACTTCCCCCCCTTTTCTTGCTCTCCCCCTGCTCTCGGAGGGACGGAGAGGAGAATCGAAAAGAATGCAACTCCCACGGGTTGAGATAAGAACAGTTTAGTAACTAAGGTACAACACAAATCACTGCTGCTACCACCAATGATAATAATGATAAAGGAAATAACAAGGGAAGAGAATACATCATCTCACCACCAGCCGACCGATAACTCGCCCCCCCCAGCCCCACCAAGCTCTGCAGTCTCCCAGCCCTTCCGGCTAACTCCCAGTTACCTCCTGGGCATGACGTGCTGTGGTATGGAATACCTCTTTGGTCAGTTTGGGTCAGGTGTCCTGTCTCTGCTTCCTCCTGGCCTCCCCTCCTCCCTGGCAGAGCATGAGGCTCACAAAGTCCTTGGCCAAACCAAAACTTCGCTATCAGTTCTGCTCCCAGGCCGAAAGTCAAAACACTGCACTGCACCAGCTACCAAGAAGGAGAAACATGACTGCTACTGCTGAACCCAGGACATATATATATATAGGTGTATGAGGGCAGCACCACGTAACCTAGTTTATTAACTGTACCATACATCACTCTTCATGTAATGTTTGATTTATTACAACTTAAGGTCATAGATGCAAATACACAATGATGTAAGATGAGCTCAGACTAACAGAAAATGTCAGCGGGTGTGCAAAGTCCAAAAGGAACAGTACACCTGAAGTATGCCTTACAGACAGGATTCCCCTGTATTTAAAGCTTTACAAATATCACCATAATTACTGAACAGAACATGAAAGGGGCTTCAGCCCCTTCCCTCCCTAAGCTTCACTTTTAATCCACTAATGAACAGAAGGAGTTTGAATGTGAAGCAGCCCTGAGGCCTTCAGGGCAGCTCACCCCACTGAGCTGACCTGCTGTACCTTTGCTCTCAGCCCCAAACAGCACAATTATGTGCACTCATCACCACTGATGGGTCAGGCTGCAATGGTGGGTGGCCCTGAAATGACAGAGAGGAATGAGTTGTATCTTGGTATCTTTAGCAGGCTTGCAGTATCCTTTCTAACTCTCCTTGGATGGTGTCCAGGATTGAGATCCAAGTGGATAAAAGGGACGCGTAAAGGAACAAAATAACATAGCAGTTGCACAAAGGCAAATAGTTATGTATGTTACAGGTCAAAGAGAAGTTACTTTTTAAATATAGATAAAACCTTCTTAAATGTGGCTAGGCAGCTGTGCTTTTAAATTCAGTGTAGCAAACTACTGCCCCATGCTGGTGAATTTTACCATTTCTCGGAAATCTAAGCTCTGGGAAATTAAGTAAATCAGTCAGTAAAATTAGGACATCAATTCAGAACAGAGAGCTTACTTGCTATCAGTAAAACAGTAAAGCTATGTTGCACAAAATTTATTTTTCTATAAACACAATGAAATGGACTTGTGCCTTACAGGGAATACTCAAAGTGCAAAGATTTTGGCATTTTCATTTGGTAATGGTGGTTCAGTTTTGTTAGAAATAGGGTAAAATTTAGAGCATTTCAGTGTTCACTAATTTACTTTTCTGCTTAAAAATGTTTCCTAAATTGAAGCTTTACAGAGATCAGTGTGGTTACCAAAATGTGAAACCTTTGCTTTTCACTATAAATCTGACAGATGGGTGGTGAATATTTTTAAAAATAATTTTGTTGGAGATGTAAATTTGATAAAAAAACTAAACTGCACCTTTTATAGACAAAAAAAAATTGCAAAGAACAATTAATTGAAATTCATAAATCTTGATACGAGATCATTCTATAATTTTCAGAAAAACTTAATTTTACAACTTTCCTGTAACAGGAAATTCTCTAGTCTTTAAAATCGTTTACACAAATAATGGTACTAACGTCTGCTTTTCTGGGATCCTTACAGGAAAAAAATTGCACATGGGATTCCTCAGGGAAGGAGTTGTGGCTCCTGCCCTTCCCTGGTGATGCCAGCTTGCATCTTTCCACTTTCGCATAGCTAGGAAGAAACTGCTGTGCTCCTCTGGTTGCTCATGACACATTATTCACACCTTCATTTGTGTTCAGCAGATCTGCAGCTGGGTGGGAGCACTCTTGACAATGAAGTAAGCAAATGCCAGTGATCACGACCCAAGTTTGAAGCACAAGTGATCCATCTTCATATTTTATGGAGCTGGCCCTTTGCTGTACAACATTTGGGACCCTTTGGCCAACACTTGTGACTTCTGTTACTGACAGAAATAACAGTAACCTGCTTTTCCTTGTTTCTCCTTTGGTTTTTATTCTTTGCTGGCAGCATGGGACACACCTGACTACTTTTGCAGTAGTGTGCATTAAAGCTGCCCTCTTCAAAGATAGGAGTCAAACCCTGCCACAATAATTATTTGAGACATCTTATAATCCTTGATGCTTTCAGGGTTCATAGTTCTTATCTGAAAGCATTTAAGAGGCAGCATCCTTTAGGTACAGGTTTTCTGTGCTTTATATGTGTTTTAAATTACTTTTATTCCTGACAAGGAATAGGAATTGTTCTGCGGTTGGTCTAAGCAAAAAGCCATCTTTTTGTTCTTTGACAAAAGGACAGCCAAGTCAACCTTTTCTTCTCTCCTTAAAAAATTGCATCAGCTACCAAAACAGGTAAGCTCGACAACACTTTCCTGAGAAACAGGGCTTTTTTCACTTGGGAAAGCCTTTCCTTTTCTCCACATGCTGCAACATAGTGTGAGGATATATAGGGCACTCAGGCTTGCTGAGCACCTTTAGTACCTTAAGGCCCCTTCTTAGGTCTGGAAAGGCAATTCAGGCTTTCTTATGAGTGGGCTGACACTCAGTTGTCTATAGGAGGGTTCAGCACATGAGGCATGTCTCAAAGAACAGAATGTTTTCCCAGTGAAGATGAGATTTGTATTTTCTAAAATTCCTCAGCCTCAAACTCCAACCTGACTGACTGGGTCCTTGGAAATAAAGCTCCTGATAGGCAAAAAATGTTCTTGGCTGTACTACGAGCAATATGTGTTCTCCTTGAATCTATTTTTGTCAGGGAAAGCTCATAATCTAATCAGTGTTTAAAAAAAATGCTGTCTTCCCCTCAGACAAAAAAAAAAACAAAACCAAACCACAACCTTTGCATTATTAAAGCCATCACCGACTTTTTGTGGCTTAAAGAAAAATTATGGTAAATACCTGGTTTTATAACCCTCTCAAATATATGCACACCTGTACTTCAAATGCAAGCTTTCAGTATTTATCAAGCATCCCAGAACTGAATTTGAGTCACCATTTAGTTGTAATTTGTCTTAACTGATTATCAAGGTTT